GATCTATGGGCATGAACACAAGCACATGAAAAGCATTTGATGAGCACATCATATTGAAATATCAGAAGAAACTCCCCCAACTCATGTCTATGACTTCCTCCAGCTTGGGTTTTTGATCAGGCTTATAGTATAGATGTGAATTCCCTTCTGTGGAGTGGGCCTCAAATCCACTCAGAAAGTGGAAGGAAGGCTGTAGAACCTTTCCCAAGTTCAGACTTCAAGGGATAAAAGACTTTGATACTGAAAATATAGACTAGTCCACTTCAAAGGAGAGAACTTTGGGATAAAGTGAAGAACTCTGGTGCAGGACAAACTTCCTATTTCTTTAGTCAAGCACGTTGTAGTGCTGTGCTCTGCCTGCCTTGAATACCCTTCCTAGCTTTGTGCACTAGGAAACACCTATCATCTTCCAAGACTCAGTTCAAGTACCTCCTTTCCCATCTCTCCTCAAGACATCAGTCTCCTACTCCCTTAGTACCTCACCCCACACTTGGCACTTTGTTCCCAGGGCTGTCTTGCTCCTTAAGACCATGATCTGTCCCAAGTGGGGAACCCACATGAAAATATAACCTCCAAATTAAAAGTAAGTTTGTTAAGGAACACATAAAAAACACTGAGATGATCTCCCTAATCTAAGAAGGGAGGATAGAGGGATTGTCATATACCTGCCTTGCACCTGCTAGGCTCAGCCATTCAGGATAGCTGCAGCTCGTCTGCCATTCTCTTCTCCCAATCCCATTTTCGGGCTAGGAATTTGACCTTTCTACTGGCTACTGCCTACTTTATGACATAATTCTCCCTCCAAACCCATCGGCATCTGTTAGAACTTTGGAGTTGCCATGTAGTTATCCATAAACAAATTTGGATCATCCCAAGTGACCAGTGACCAGTTTCTCATATTGGACACACATGCTTTGTAGCTTCAGCAACCCAGACAAACCATATTACTGTATGGTTTGTATCTGTGGCTGACATTACCCGTGTCAGGAGATACCATACCTGTCTTCAAACATGGAGCTCGAAACAACACACTCTTCTGATACAGTTGCAGTCTATGACTCCAAAGCATTTGGTCCTGATGCCTGACCATGGAAATATCACCCTTTCACCCAAAGATAGGGTTAAGATCTTTCCCCAGCTTGAGAATGCAGTAAAATTCAGAAGAATTCAATATTGCACCCAGTAGTCAATATTTCCACTCTGGAGTTCAAGTCATCTACATGTCAACATTGAATCTGCCTTTATCCTCTATAGCAAGTATATCAAGTCCATCATAGAACAAAGTCCCCAGATATTGGGATTACAAATTAGCTGTCATTCCTGAGAAGATACAGTCAAGAAATGAAAGAACTTGCTTTTCCCCAGGTAGAAGAGCCAAAAGCAGTTTGGATACACACACCCAAGAATGCAAAAAAATATATATAAAGAAGGAAGAGTTAGAATTTTTCCCAGAGCATGGCCACTCAGCAAGAGCTGGGGAAAGAGCAAAGGCTGCACCAGTTAGAACAGAAACAGTTCCATGCCTTTGAGGAGATGATCCAGAACCAGGAGCTGGAAAAAGAGTGACTAAAAATTGTGCAAGAGCTGAGCAAGATAGAGCCAGAGCCAGAGGGCCACTGGGGCCTGATTTAGAAAGGCCTCAGAAGCATTCACAACCTGGCTGTTATCCACAGGCTTCAGATCATAACACAGCTGTAGGCTAGCTAAGTCACCAGTGGTAGACAGGTCTTTTAGACCTGGAGTGCTGAGCAGCACAGAAATGTTCCCATCAGCAGTGGATGACATTGTAGGTAGGTACCTTGAAGCTATACCAAGTTTCCCAGTTCCCCAATGCTAACACTGCCCGTGACATAGAAACATGTGGAGTACTCTGTGGGAAACTGATGAGGGATGAGTTCACCATTAGACATGTAATCATCGCAGACAAATGCTGGGTCTGATTATTGCAACACATGGAATGAAGAAGACATTTTCTTCCTCCAAAATGAACTAGGCACTCATCCTTGGGTGGATTCACACTCCCTCACAGTCTTCCTTTCCAGTGTAGACCTACACACTCACTGCTCTTATCAGATGATGTTGCCAGCATCGCCAGCTTCTGTCTGCTTGCTCCCCAGGCTCAAGCAAAGGAAGCTATCTAAACTAACTGACCACAAACTACACGAGACTTCTTCCTGTTCTCTTAAAGGCTTTCATACGCCAAAAACATACTGTTGTTGTGTGGCTGTTAAAAGTGCATGGTGACTATCACAGACTAGTGTAAACATTTAAGAGCTATAAACCCAAATCAGTTTACTACTGCCCTTGGATTTAAGCTTTCCAGAAAGATTTGGAAACTTTTTCAGAGAAGACAGAAAAGGGGCAATGGGAAAAAGACTACTTTTTATTTGAAAACCAATCATTGAATATGTTTTTAAGACAAACATGAAAGGAGAAGCCTATCACACTAAGCAACTAACTCAAAAATTAGGTGGACTAGAGAACAGCTCTCTGTTCTTCTTGAATCAACTCTTCCCCATCCTCCTCTACCCTCCAGCTTGCCCATTATCCACCTTTGGACTAAATACAGCATCTGTGTAGCAGTCTGAGAGCCATTTAGAAATGTCTGGGTTCTCCCTTGGCTTGTGGTATGGTTGCTGGGGCAGCTCTTGGAGACAAGTTGGGATAACTAGTTGGTGGCCCAGTTTTGTCAGCTCACTGTTCCTGGGTTTAGGGTGTCAGTTGGCTCTGTCGTTGAAGGAAGACCCTGCTCCACTAAACAGCAGACAGTGGATCCTCCCGTGTTCCTCCCTGTACCCTGTCATCACTGTTACATCTCCGCTGCTTTAAGAAGGCAGACACAGTTCACTGTGATCGGTGCTTATATGTTAAGACCCTAAACTTAACCACTAGTTCTTTTCTATTTAAACTCAGCCCCTTCTGGTAGGATAGCATGTCTCTGGTGTTCTGGGGGTTTTTAGCTTTCTACAGAAATCCAGATACCAATTAGGATCTACCCATCTTCAGCAAGTCACGTGATCTCATTTACCTCCTATTGGTTGAGAAGAAGCAGATCTAATTGTCTGGAAACTTGCCTAACACCTAACACAGGCAATAGCAGTTTGGGACTGGCGGCATTATTTGTGAACTGAATGAAAAAAAGAAATAAAAGGGGAACATGGCTGCTCCTAAGGGGCTGAGGGTTTACTATAGATACAAAGGAAAAAGCAGGCAGAGAGAAAGGCCAGACTGAGCCAGCCCAGTGAGGACAGAGGAGGGAGATCAAAAGAGGAGCCTCTGACCAAAAAGGGCAGCCTGGGTCAAGAGACTGGCCAAGAGACACATGCTGCTAAAACTGGCAAGTTATATAGGGGCCAGAGGAGCTAGGAGCAGAGAAGCCTAGCCCAATAGCTGGGCTGGAGAGTTCAGGGTAGTGGTCAGGGTATGGCAACCAGGACCCCTAACAGGCAGGGACTGAGGAATGCTGGGAGAACTTGGCAGCCAGTGTCTGCTCTGATATGTTAACAGGAATCTCAGCTAGCCCTTTGTCCCAAGTTGGAGACCTAACAGGAACCAAGGGCACAGAGGCAGTGAAAGCTCCTATGCAATTGAGGTGCCCAAAACAAATATAGAGACGGCCCATCATCCATCTTGGAATGTTGCACCTCTTACACAGAGAACTCAGTATAGGGGATAATACAACCTGCATGCCTCAGAGGCCACTTTCTCGGCTCCCAACATCTACCAGATGCCGCCTCATGACTCTCCCCTTCGACTCCTACAGCAAATTTATTCACCTAAGTCTCGTCCTCTGATGTGCACAGATGCTCAGGTACATCCTGGGGTGGCTCTTTGTTGTTCCCAGTGCCTGCAACATCCCTCCTTCCTTTCACTGCAAATATGGTAGAACTAAACAAAATGGACTGAGAGTCTAACTCAGTCCATGTCCTCTGCTGTACATACAACAGAGACAGCAAATTACCACAAATTTGTTACTTAAAACAGAATTGTGGTCATGGGCGCTAATAATATCATCATTCAGGGAGCAAGGGGGCGGGGGGAACTATGAGTTTGAGACCAACAAGACCCTATGGCAAAACAATAAGAAGCCAGGTATGGTGGTACACACCTGTAATCCCAGAAGTTAGGAGGTAGAAGCAGGGGAATCAGAAGTTCAAGGTCACCCTTGGCCACATTTAGAAATTTCGAGGCAAGTTTGTGCTATAGAAAATTCTTGTGTTAAAAAAAAAAAAAGTGGTTGTACTTGGGAATGGTTAAAAAAAAAAATGGCCAGGCATAGTGGCACAGACCTTTAAGTCAAGCATGTGGAAGACAGAGACATAAGGATTTTTAAGTTTGAGGTCACTCTGAGATACATGGTGAGATCTCACTTCCAAAACATAAAAAATTGTGATAATGGTTATACAGTAAGTTTTGTTATGAAAATTGCACATAAAACAAGTAAAATGCAGCTTGACATTTTGGTTATGAGCCTAGCCTTTAAGAGCTGAAACATCTCTCCAACATATAAAATGCACTTTCTGTAAACAAAGGCTTTGAAGACATTTAAAGCAGCAAAACAAAAGACCTGGTGCCCAACCTAAGGCAGGGGTGCGAGGCTTCCACTCACAGCTGCACTTTTCACAGCCCCTAAGCTGGGGAGCAGCCAACGGCTCCAGTAACAGTATGCTTTAAAATGTGACATGCACACGCTGGACTGCTGCTCAGCCATACAGGAAGAGTGACAAAACCAAAGACTATGCTAAGCAAAATAAGCCAGACTTGAACAAATACTACGTCTTCTCTGTGTGTGGAGTCCAAATGTGCACACAGAAGAAGAGAACAGAAAGGGAAAGCATTTGGGAAAAGGAAGAGGGCGGAGAATGGGAGAGAGGCAAGAGCAGTGGGAGATGAGAACAAAAGAGTGACATCTGTATTTGAAAGGCCATAATGAAGCCCATTACTTTGTATGCTGACTGGAAACCCAAAAGACAAGCAAGACGTCCAACCTGGAAAATCCACAAAACCTTCGGTGCAGACAGGCGGAGTCTCCCACCTGACTCCTACTTGCATTTCACTTCCTTTTCTTCTTTTAAGACTTTTTTCATCATCTTTAGCATCTTGAATTTTTGTTTTCATTCTGGGAAGGTCTGCTCCAGGCTTTCTAGCTTCCACTTCTGTTTCTTTCAAGAATCCTTTTCTGTTGTTCTTAATGGTTTCTCCTTCCATGTTGTCATTCTTCAAAAATACAAAATGACAGTTTCAGTGGAAGACATTGAAAAAGTGTCGTTCTCTACGTGAGATATCTAGATAAAATCCTACAGAGAAAACAGGGTTGAACAAAAGAATAGAGACCTGTTCTTTGAATGGAGAGAAACTTCCTGTTTGAGAAGGAAACAGGAGGATCCCAGAGCTCTTGAGCAACCAATCAGTGAGTGCTGAGTTCGGTAAGATACTGTCTCAAAAGGTGAGTGGACTGAGAGAACCAGGTGGCACACCTTTAATCTCAGTGCTCAAGACACAGAGGCCAGTAGATCTCTGTGAGTTCAGGGCCATCCTGGTCTATGTAGTGAGCTCCAGGGCTGCCTTGACTATGAAGAAAAATACTGTCTTGAAGGAAAAAAAAATTTAAAAAACAAAAAAGAGTGGATGGACTGCTGAGAGGGCTCATCTACTAAAAGCACTTTTTGGTGCAAACCTGATGAACTGAGTTCAATCCCTGGACTCCATGTCAAGGTGGAAGGTGAGAACTGTCTTCTGATCTCCATACATGTGCTGAAGGACATACATACTGAAAAACACACACACACCACACACCATACCTACATACTAGTAAAAAAATTTTTATGGTGGAAAGGGATAGAGGAAAATACCTACACACATATGGATGCATGCTCACACAATGCGAATATTACTTAAATGGGCCAGGGAAGAAAAGGGTGAAGAGAAGGAAGGAGAAGAAAACACCTGCTTGCTTCCTAGGAGGAGAACACATTTGAGCGCTGAGGCCAGCTATTCTTCCAGAGGACCTGGATTCACTGGCAAAACACCCACACATGTAAAATCAACTTTAAAAAAAAAAAGTTTAAAAAATTTTAAAGAAAAAAAAGTGACATACACAATAAGGAAAAACTCCAGAATTACATGACCCTGCCATGGGACTCAAGACCTCAGTACCTGCGTGCCAGCCTCCGCACCCGCTGCTAGATCACATAGGGGGTGGCCTGTCCTCACATCTCCACACTTTACCCGTCCCTCTTACCACTGTGCTCACCTCCATCCCCACACACATCACATTACAATGATAACCATCACATACTCACTCAACACCGGAAGCCAGCACCGCACAGAAACACAGAGGCATTCCATCTTTTGTAACCATCAAGTCACCCTATTTACAGGGCTCACAACAAGAAATGGAGGCTTACAAATGAGGCAGCCTGCCTCAATTTACCCAGCTGTACCTGGGCGACCAAACTCCTTTATTGCTAACCACGTGTTTTGTCCACTGTATTAAGATGCCTGTTCAAGCAGTGTGCAGGCAATGTTGACGCTGCACGAACTCAAAGGCATTAGGCCAAGCCCGGCTGTGGTACGCACGCCTTTAATCCCAACACTCGGGATTGGGGATTGGCAGAGGCAGGCGGATCTCTGTGAGTTCGTGACCAGCCTGGTCTACAAGGTTTCAGGACAGGCTCTAAAGCTACAGAGAAACCCTGTCTCAAAAAAAAAAGAAAAAGAAAAAGAAAAAAAACAATAAATAAATAAAGGCGTTAAGCCTACAATGCCATTCTCAAGGAAAAGATACAAGCTTACTACTGTAAAACTTACCTTCTCTATCACAACTTGCTGTGCCAGATAATACCCAGAGGCCCAGCAGAGAGATAACTGACATGTGCAAGCCAGTGCCTTATAAGAGCCTTCACTACGGGAGAAGTAGCTACTCCGCTTCCATATTCTATGATGATGTCTCTCGTAACTCAAGAGGTCTTAGATTTTGGTTAAACTCATAAAACTGTAATCGGAAGGGACTACAACGAATTATCTAACAGTAATATAGTAAAGTTTTTTTTAATTTTATTACACTAATTTGGGAGTGATGATAGGGCTCACGGGTGGATGTCAGAAGACAGCTTGGTAGGGAGGAGTCTGTGTTCTCAACGCTGTGGGTGTTAGGAATCAAACCCAGCTCCGCAGGCACGCAGCAAGCACCTCCACCCACTGAGCCATCTTGCCAGCCCGGTCTCATTGCCTATTGCCTACTTAAGTGGGATCACCGAACAACATCAGGTCAGCACACAGACAAAAAGTTCATTAGTTTAGAATGAAAATTCACAAAGCCAATAGGTATCTGGTAGCACTCACCAGGCGCTATGTGTTAACCGTGTAATAGAGTGCAGGGCAGATTCAGGACCTCTCCAGGCAGATCTTCCGATCAAGCCAGCACTATTTCGGTTTTAACCACGCAGACTTGGAGCTCCACAGATATCGCTTAGGAAGAGCCGTTGAGAAGTTAACATCTCTTTCCCGTCCACCTTTAGTAAGAAGGGAAAGGGTTTTTTCTCTCTTGAGCTGAAACCATTTTGCGCTCCAGTACTAACAAAAAGGCCTGGTTAGTATGATACACAAAGCCCACTTAAAAATCTTTGGCTCAGGGGGTCATCCCTCACAAGATCTCCTGCTCACAGAATTTTGGAAAGCAACACTCATTCGGTGGGCCTGCGAGGCTGCAGGGAAGACAAAGTCGAGTTCCACAGTTTGTGCACCAGGGCTGAAGCTGCTCCTTCCTGGGCCTACGCTTTCACTGCCATGGCCTCTATTCTCCACACTGCTTAGGTGCCCACGCCCAGGACCCCAAGGCCATGCCACGGGTGTCTGAGGTCTAATCGCGGGAGGCAGACCCATGCCACTTCTCATCTGGCTGCCCGGATCCAGCTACTGCGCTGTGGGTCTGGGTGAACAGGGAGAGCCGCCAGGCAGGCCCGGGCTTGGGCGTCCTGAGGATGGAGAAGGATCTGGAAAAAAACGGCTAGACGCCGGCGGGGTGGGGGTGGGGAGGGAGGACGCGGGGAAGGGTGTGATCATCGAAATCCGAGAATGTAGAGTCCTGGAGTGGGAGAGGAGGCCGCCCCTAGGAGCCGTCAACCAGAAAAACAAATCTTACCAAAAGAACCCCCTCGGGTGCCCTCAGCCCAAGAGCCCCAACCCGTTTAACCGCTTCTCTAGAAAGTTCCCCGCTCCCGCCCCTTCGCTGCCCGTGCGTGCCGCTCCTCCTGACCCCGCCCCCGAGGCGAGTGGGACCAATCACAGGCCGGGCCGCGCCGCGCCCGCCCCTCGGCGTCGCCCCACTCGGCAGCAGGCGGTGAGCGCGCGGAGAGCCCGGTGCGCGAGCCTGGAGCGAGGTTTGCGGTGGGCAGCGCCGCCTTGTGCCGCACGCCACCCGCACCGTGCGCTCACCCCGGTCGGCGGCCAGAGCGCTCGGCTCGCGCTCGTCCCACTCCCGCAGCCAACGGTGCGCCTAGCGGCCATGACCGCCGAAGAGATGAAGGCGACCGAAAACGGGGCGCAGTCGGCGCCCCTGCCTCTCGAAGGAGTGGACATCAGCCCCAAGCAGGATGAGGGCGTGCTCAAGGTGAGAGGGGGCCGCGGAGACCCCAGCTGGAGACTCGTGGACCTCAAGCGGGTGGCACGGGAGGAGGATGGGGGAATTTGCCATCCCAGTGCGGGCTGCGGCCCTAAAGATGGCACGGTGGCTGCACGCTCCCGGATCGTGCGGCCCCGGGAAGGAGCCCCCACTGCAACGCCAACTTGATCCGGCTGCACTGTGCGGCTGAGAGGGGCGGGGCGGAGCGCGAGGGCCGCAGCCGGGGGGCCCGGGCGGGGGGGGGGGGGGGCACGAGGCCGGGGCGAACCTAGGGGCTCGGGCCTCGCCTCCTAAGGACCCCTCGACCGCAGCGTGCGCGGGCCACCTGGGCGAAGGTGCGTCAGGGCTCGCCCACTTGAAAGTTAAACATTAGCTAGGACCTGAAACGGCTCCAGGGAGCCGTTTCCTGGCCGAGAGCCCTTTGTGCCTCTCCGCGCCCCCTTTGCAATTGCCGAGACCCAGCGAGGTCACGGACTCGGCCATGCTATGCCCCCTTTCTCGGCCTGGGGAGAGCAGGAGCGGTGCATGCCGGGACCTGTAGTTCCTCTCCCTCTCCTCCTGAGCCTTCCTGAGTTGGGGGTTCGGGGTGCTGGCCTTGGGGGAGGCGGTTTGCCCTGGAGCCAGCGGTTCACTAGTCGCCTGACTGCAGATAGCCCGAGGAGCGAGGGGGAGGGCGCCCTGACCTGGGTCGGGACAATGGGCGCCGGTTCAGAGCAGGTTCTGCCAGCAGTCCAGGACGGTGAAATCCTAACCGGCTTTGCACGCTGCTCCCTGCATCCATTGTTTCTCCCCGGAGCGTCCCATCATTGCTCGGTACCTAGTGTGTGTGGCCTGTGCTCAGCAGAGACCTCAGGGACCCTTGTTGGTCCAGAAATGCTGCTCCTGGCTTTCTCCCCCAGCTCTAGCCGCTCCCCTGTGAACATGTGGCCTTTCTTCTCTGTTTACTGCAAGGTTCTGATTCCCAGAAGGCCAGTTTTTATCCTCCACTCCTTTGAGGTCCCTGTACATTCTTATCAGCCTTCCTTTAAAGGATGGTTCTACATCCACCTAGTGGCCCGCCCACGGGGTCACCATATATAAAAATGTTAAACAGAAGCAGATGCCTATATGTTCATCGGAAGTACTCTAGTCCTGAAAAAAGGGCCCCTTAGCTTGCTGGTCTGGTAATTTTGTTTCCCAACTCTTAATTTGCCAGGGCTGATGCAGAGCCTCTGTGCTCTGTAATCTGGCCCTTCCTTTTCCCAGTTTGGAACCGATCTGTTCCCTTCCTTACTCTGATTCCGATTCCGTTCTATTCACACCAGGCCCTGATCTGATGACCCACTAGTTCCTATCCACGCTTTATCAGTGTGTTCTTCAAGCACCTCCAGGGGATGGGAATTGTCCTCAGTGCTTGACAGTTTCTGGATAGTTGAGCAACTTGGCCAAAACCATAGACAAAGTTTAAACCGAGGTCATTTTATCTGAAGCGTTCCAAAACCGGTCTGGACAAACCTGGAGGGAGCCAGGAAAGTTCCTTGAGTCTAAGCTAAACCACTAACATCAGAGTCGTTTGAAGATTGAGCTCTTGGACCTGCTAAGAAAGAAGCAGGAGGCAGTGGGGGCAGCAGAAAACACTACATGCCTTACAGGGGCTTAGGGGCAATGAGGGCCCTTCTGCCCACATCCCTGGGTACTCACGTTTTCCCCCCTTCCTCCCAGGTCATCAAGAGAGAGGGTACAGGCACAGAGACACCCATGATTGGGGACCGGGTCTTTGTCCACTACACTGGCTGGCTCTTAGATGGCACAAAGTTTGACTCCAGTCTGGATCGCAAGGACAAATTCTCCTTTGACTTGGGAAAAGGTAGGCATGGTTAGTGGGCTAGCGGGGTAGGTTCCAAAGCTGATAGCAACTGTCACAAGCAAAAATGATGTTCTCAGCCAAGCTTGAGTTGGGCACAGTAGTGCTTACCTGTGTTCCCAGCTACCAGAGAAGCTGAGGCAAGTGAGTCACTTTGAACAAAGGAATCCAAGATAACCTTGGCAAAATAGCATAAACTAGTCATCAAAACAGGAAAAACACAAAAAACACCAGAACTAAGATCAAGGAGGAATGGTTAAGAATCTATCTATTGCTGGGCAGTGGTGACACACGCCTTTAGTTCCAGTACCCAGGAGGCAGTGACAGGTGGATTTCTGAGTTTGAGGACAGCCAGGACTAACTGAAATCTGTCTTGAAAAGCAAAACAACAAAAAATAATCCATCCATTATCTGTCATGTGTTTTCTTCTACTATTCTAGGACTGGTTGGTTTCTATCCCCATCTCATCAATTTAGCTCCTCCCTCCCTTTGGGATGGACAGTCTTGCTTCTTGAACTCTTTGCAGGGTTGAGCAATCTCTTAATGTGCTGGGAATGTCAACACTGCTGCTGCTTGTCTCTGGTCCCGTTTCTAGAGGTGTTCAGATCCCCCTTGGGTGTGCGCAGCTCTCTGAATCTTGAGCCTAGAGTTAGACTCCTGCTAAGCAGGTATTGTTTGCCTCTACCTACAGGGGAGGTCATCAAAGCTTGGGATATTGCTGTGGTGACCATGAAAGTGGGGGAAGTATGCCACATCACCTGCAAGCCAGAATATGCCTATGGGTCAGTAGGCAGCCCTCCAAAGATCCCCCCCAACTCCACACTTGTATTTGAGGTAAGTGCTGGCCACAGAGTGCCAGGCAAAGAGCCAGACCTTATCTCACCCCATTGCCTGGCTGTCCTCCAGCCCTTCCTGCCTCTTGGAAACAATGTAGCCAAGCCTGAGGGCCTAGCTTTAGTAGGAGGCCAGTGGCTGGCTCTGCTGCTGCCACCGTGGCCAATACTAGAAGCTTTGGGTTAGAAGAGGGGGCTCCAAAGCCCTTGTGGAAAGGAGCCGGGGTCAGGACACATCAGGGATATAGAGGGTAGTGTGGAGTGTTGGCATCCTGGAGCACAGGAGGGAGAGACACCTTCCTTCCTATAGGTCTGCTGAGGGGAAGAACTAAGACTATTCGGCTGAAAGTAGAAAACCAATCAGTGGGCATTAGAGAATATTCACAAGGCCACTGAGATGCCAGGCCACTTCTGATGCCTACCAGATTGTCTCATGTCCTTGCTAAATGAAGCAGGATGATAGAGAGCTTTCTTTCTGGCTAGATGTTGTCTAGCCGTTAGTGGTAACTCTAGGGAGTAAAACAGAGTTTCGCTGCTGAGTTGATGCAGAAAGGAGTTGATCACTTTATCTTATTCCACAGGTGGAGCTATTTGAGTTCAGAGGAGAAGATCTTACAGAAGATGAAGATGGCGGGATCATCCGCAGAATACGGACTCGTGGTGAAGGCTATGCCAGGCCCAATGATGGTGCTATGGTAGAAGGTAAGAAAGTGTAGTCTGACTGGGCAGTGGTAGCACATGCCTTTAATCCTAGCACTTGGAAGGCCTGAGTTCAAGGACAGTCAGGGCTACACAGAGAAACCCTGTCTCAAAAAGACCAAAAAAACAAAGTTAATCTGGTGTAGGAAGAAAAATCTAGAGTTGCATATGATTCCTGGCTTAGAGATGAAAGGCCTTGGGTGGTTTGAACCAATTCATTTCCTTCCTGTAAGTCTTTTGTCTCATCCATAAAATAAGGAGTTAGACCACACTATCTTAGCATCCCTGCAGGTCGGAGACACAGAGGTTATCTTGGGTATGAACGGTAATTTGGAGATGGGGGAGGCCAGTGGCAACTTCCTCAATGCTCTGCCCCCTCACATCTGGGGTACTGCCTCTCTTTGATGCCAGTGGCACTGGAAGGCTACTGTAATGACCAGCTTTTTGACCAGCGGGAGCTCTGCTTTGAAGTCGGCGAAGGGGAAAGCCTAGATCTGCCCTGTGGGTTGGAGACGGCCATTCAGCGCATGAAGAAAGGAGAACATTCCATTGTATACCTCAAACCTAGGTGAGACACAGGCACTTTGCAGAGCAATGGGACATAGCTGAATGCCTACCGTGAGCTGTGTGATAGGCATTCACAAGCCCTGTATGCTTGCTTCTACTCTGAGGATGCTTGTCACCATCACCTCATTGGGTCTGGAAGTGTGGCCCACTGTTGCCTGTATTTCCTCGCATTCAAGCCTCATCTGAATCCCTTACCTGCCAATATCTAGATTTTCATCTGCTATTAATTTATGCAATTGTTAACGTTTATGGAAACACCTACTGTGTACCATGCATACTAAAGTTCTTAGGGCTTCACAGCGGATCTTGTTCCGTTGTCTCTGAGTCAATCATCTCAACAGTGTATAGGGACATGTAGAGGACAAGCGGTAGTGAGTGCTATGCCACCGCCCAGCTGGGTAGTAGAGAAGTTAGGGAAATGTTTGCCAGACCCAGGTCTCAAGATGGGAAGGTACTTTCCAGGAAACAAACAGGAAGCCTTTCAGCCCAGAGCAGACGAAGGCTGTGAGGTGACCCAGGAGTTTTCACCCCCACAGCTATGCTTTTGGCAGTGTTGGAAAGGAAAAGTTTCAGATCCCACCACATGCTGACCTGAGATATGAAGTACACCTGAAAAGTTTTGAGAAG